GGGTAGGATCAAGAAATTTCAATAATAATAATAACAACAACAATATACTTTATTCATTAAACATGAAACTCAAGTCAACTGAACATTCAAAAATGCATCGCAAGTACCATTGACTGGTACGAATGGTTGATACGGGTTGCTGCCAGCGTCCTAGGTATCAACCAAGTACCTTCTTAAAATATACGATGTTCCAAGTAGCAGTTTTTTGCAGTTCTGCTGGTGTTATTGCAGGAAGCTGCAATTTGTTGATGTATCTTATAAAATTCTTGGATATGGTACCAAGTGCCCTGATCACAATGGGTATCACTGTTACATGTTTCATCCATAATCGCATAGTTTCAATGGTCAGGTTGCGATATTTTGTGATATTTTCCAGTTCTTTTTCTTCAACTCTGGCATCTCCTGGTACCGCAATGTCAGTAAATTGTACGTTTCGATTTTTGACAACTGTGGTATCTGGCGTGTTGTGTTCCAAATGATGATCTGTCTGTATTTGAAAGTTCCACAAGATCTTCACCTTCTCATTTTCTATAACTTTTTCCATTTTATGTTCCCATGACTTTTTGGATACAGGTAAATCGTATTTTTTACATAATGACCAGTGGATTAATTTAGCAACCTGGTTGTAATCAGTTTGTGCAGTCTTGCTGCATTCACATATTAAATGTGAAACAGTTTCGACTTTGTTGTTGCAAAGTCGGCAATTTGGATTGTCGGTGGATTTTTGTATCTTCGCTTTCATGGCATTAGTTTGTAGTGCTTGTTCTTGAACAGCGAGTATTAAACTTTCCCTTTCTTTCTTGATGGTTCACATCTTAAGCCATGCCCAATTATTATTATTATTATTTGGAACATCGTATATTTTAAGAAGATACTTGGTTGATACCTAGGATGCTGGCAGCAACCTGTATCAGCCATTCGCACCAATCAATGGTATTTGTGACACATTTTTAAATGTCCAGTTGAGTGAGTTTTCATGTTTAATGAATAAAAGAGATAATAATAATAGTCATTGTCATCTGCAACATCATGTTTGAATTGCCAAAATTATACATTGGAAGTTTTGCCAGAAGTTTGGGTACGAATGCAGCAAAAATTACTGGGGACACCAAGTTGACAAAGTTATTGAAAACGAACAGGTCGAGATCTTGTGAGGTCCAGAGACAGACATCTGGCCCACAACACACCTGACATCACTATTGTTGAAAAGAAAAGAAAAAAGTGTGGCTCAGGTGCTGCACGAATTGAAGAGAAACAACTAGAAAAAATAATGAAATATCGTGATGTGCAAATTGAAGTTAAGCGATTATGGAGGAAGAAATCAATGGTTCTACCAATAGTAAGAGGAACCCTTGGAGCAATACCCAAAAAACATGGAAATTTTGAATTTATATTAGACCTGAATATTCTGACTTTGAAACAACAACAACAACAACAAACACCTTACTTGGAACTGCCTATATACTCAGATGCTACCTTAACAGCTCTTAGGTCCTTGGTTAGGACTTAAAGTGTTAAATTTTCATCAGTCCCAGACTGTGAATTGAATTGAAAATTAAATCTTAAATAATAGGTACTAAAAAATTAAAAAAAAAACCTCTTGTGAGTTGAGAAATGAGTGTTTCCCTATTATCATTACAATAAAATGCATTGTTTTTTCTCAGCTGAAGTAAAAGTAGTGTTTATTTCAAAAGTTGTTTTTATCAATTTTCATAAATTCTCAAGCCTATATCCCTTCTCCTTTAAGTAAATAGTTCTAAAATAATTATCTCCCATCAGTGGTTGCATTTATGTTTTTATTAATTGTGCAGTAGCCATACTTTCTTTGAGCACATCCTACAATAAAAAGTTGCTGAAAAATTTTTCCATTAACAATAATAACGCCCTGGCTAATTCTTATTTTGCACTATGCAAACACCCTAATAAAGACATGCTTATCTAATCAAAAGCTGTTGCTATGGAGAAATAATAGGTCAAGGATTCCCTTCAATGTCATCTTGAGCTGTTATGACAGGATGAATATAAATTCATAAATACAATCCTGAAAACCGGTTGTGATGTCTTTTTATAACCACTATCTATAATTCTAAAACAGACCTCATCCATAATGGAGACACATCAAAAGTTTTCACGCGCTTGGCTACCATCAGCCACAGAAACGGATGTGTTTCTTTCTCCCAACCTAATCAACCGAATGTTTTCTTAAAGGTGCATGCAGATATAAGCAAATCACAATAGGGAGTCCTTGACTTACGACCACAATTGACCCCAAAATTTCTGTTGCCAAGTGAGACAGTTGTTAAATGAATTTTACCCCATTTTATGACCTTACTTCAGTGGTGGGTTGCTCCCGGTTCTGTCCAGTTCTATAGAACTGGTAGTAAAATTGGCAGGAGATTTATGTCATAAACGGACGTCATAAATGACGATCTGCGCATGTGCAGAAGTGTGCGCAGCCCCGCTGCGAACCGGGAGTAAAGGTAAGTAGAACCCACCCCTGCTTTACTTGCTACAGTTGTTAAGTAAACCATTGCAGTTATTAAATTAGTAACATGGCTGTTAAGTGAATCTTCCCCATTGACTTTGTCAGGTTACAAAAGATGATCATGTGACCCTGGGACACTGCAGCTGCCACAAATATGAACCAGTTTCAAGTCTCTGAATTTTGATCATGTGACCATGGGTACGCTGCAAGTCATAAGTCACTTTTTTCAGTGCTGTTGAAACTTCGGTCACTAAATGAACTGTTGTAAGTCAAGGTCTACAAGTACTATGGTTTATGACAAGCCTCTCCTATTATTCTTCTAAAGCAGTTAGTGTTAATTCAAGAATTCCAAGGCAATACTGAGGATTCATTGGGGTCATGCAGGCTTCAAAAAGAGTGGGAGGGAATGTTTGGGATCTGTGCAAGGAAATTATTCTCTGCTGCCCCATGATGAAAGCTGGCTTTTTTCAGCATACACTTGAATCTGAATTCCATTTACTTTAATGAATGGATTTCTTAATATTGGCTTTTTTGCAGGCATAAATGGAAGACTGGAAGGACCGTGGATACCTAAAGGAAGTAAGCCTACTTTAATTAAAAAAGCATAAAGCTGCTGCCTCCTTGCAAATTGCAAAGCAATTGATCTGAATCATTTTAAATGGGCATAACTTTGAAAGGCATTGATTTTAATATTAAAAAGACCGTCGTGACCATAAGTGACAAGGATTTCAAATTAGAAAAACACCCAGACCACTTTTGGACACTTTCATATAACTCACATTACAGTATTACTGTCTATACAAATATCTATTTTTATACATAAGGCACAACTGAATACTTGTATCATGATTTATGGCTACAGGTGTCTGATCTGTGAAATGTATTTTTTTAAATTGCACAGAAGGGAAATTCAGGGTGAAGAAAATGATAATTGCAGCAGCTTTCAGGGACACATGGTTTTAAAAATACGCCATATGTATAGGTAGTCCTCAACTAATGACAATTGAGCCCAACATTTGTTGTTAAGTGAGACAGTTTTGAGTTTTGCCCCATTTTATCACTTTTGTTGCCATAGTTGTTAAGTGAATCGTTACAGCTGTCAAGTTAATATGGTTAAGTGAATCTGGCTTCCTCATTAACTTTGCTTGTCAGAATGTCATAAAAGGTTCACATGACCCTGGGCACGGCAACCAGCACAAATTATGAGCCAGTTGGCAAGTATCCAAATTCTGATCATGTGATCAGAAAGGTATAGCAATGGTCAGGTGAAAAATGGTCATGTCACTTTTTTCAGTGCATTGTAATTTCAAATGGTCACTAAAGGAATAGTATAAGTCAAGGACTACCTGTATAAAACTTTCAAGCTATGTATCAAAATGACTGAAAAATAGTAAATCCCCAAAAGGCTAACATACCAGAACAATTGGATCAGTTATTCTTCATCAGATTAGATCAAGGATACAAACCTGTTTTATTTTTCCATTCTCACCAGCTTTGTCCTTGGAAGGATCCAGTGACAATGGGATTTCCAGGCCTATGTATTAACAGTAGGGGCTAGATGGAGCATCACTTCATGTGCTTATTTAGCATTTAAGGCCATTTATGCACCCAGAAGGATTATCTTGCAAAAAACTTATCTACATGAAAGCGTCCTTCATCAAAAGTTACCTTGCTCCTAGCATATCATCCTTCAGTATTTGCTTCCACAAATAAATTGTACCTTTTATGAAGATGTACTAGAAGAAAGTCGATAAGCCATGTTGGAAATATTTGCCAGAGTTAAGCAAATAGCTAACTAGATTGGGTACAAAAGGATAGATGGTTGCCTGAAGGAAGGCAAGCAAAACAAGTGAGGTCTTTGATCTATCATCTTCTCTCAATCTTGAAGGGACACTTAGAAATGAAAATTATTTTGAGGAAAAAAAATCTTCCTTGCATTAAGATGGACCTAGCAAGGACACCATACTTTCATGCTGAAGGTTACGTTACTGGGAGCACATGAAGCCTGCCTATTCTCTTCACACTTAAAAATAGGCAACTTGAATACAACATACATAATAGGTCACTCCTTTATTCTGTGTCCCCAATAGGCCAGTTCAGGTTACACAGGTAACTGTCTAATCTGAGAGAATTTTAGGCTGCATAAATCCTGACAACCACTAAATCAGCACAAGAGCTCCAGAAAATCCCAACTTGATACTTCCATTTAGATGATGTTCCCTAAATGAACACTTGATATTGCCTTCCAGTTTGAACTACTGGTGTAACCTGATAGAACTGTGCTGCAATTTGGAATTTTATTGCAAAAAGATACAGGAACTGTTTGAAGAAGCTGCCTCTTTTCTAGGGATCACATGGTTGTTGTGATTAATTGAACAAAAAAAAAAAAAAAAAAAGAGAGAGCGTTTTTTGTATCCTTGCAGCTGTTTTCACCTGATTTTAATTGCAATTAATATTTGCCTTTAAAAAAAATGCTAGCCTCACAAAAAACTGTTCAGAAGAGAGGAGAAGAAAACATTATTACTGTTATTTATTGAAGTTGGAGGTAGACAAAGCATTGCAAAGAATTTACAATACATTTAATTTACAACACACTTGTATTTACATTTAATTTTAAAAGGAAAGAGTTACTGTTTTTTTTTATTCCTGAGTTTCTCAGCATCAACAGAATTGATAAGTAAAAGGAATGGCATGCTATATTTCCAAGTCAACAGTCATATCTTATGAAGGCTTATTTTCACCAGAGAGATGGATTATTTCAATAATCATTAACCATTTTTCATACATGTTTTTTTAAAGGAGCATATTCACAGTTACAGAAGGTTGAGTTTGGGATTCTAGATTTCTTTCATTGAAAGAACCCCGCACAGAAAAACAAATATGCAAAAACAAAGCAGTGAATTTAGATAAAATTCAGCATAGACATGGCAGAAACCAAACAGATTGTACGTTTTGCATGTAAAAAAAGTCCCTGTTTTAATTAGTTTATCAAATTTAAAGCAACACAACTAGGAAATATTACTAAGTTAAACCCTTGTATTACCTGTGCCAATCACAATAGGAATTACTGAACAAGAGAATCTGACTTAATCAAAATGTAATCTACTCAGTGCAGATGAACATGTGTACACACATACATCCACTCCACGCTTTCATTTCAAAGTAAGAATGCTGAAAGAAACCTTCTTATGCTGTCTTGCCTTTTTTCACTTGTCATGTACCGTATTTTTCAGAGTATAAGATGCACTCCCGCCCCCCAAAGAGGGTGAAAATTTGGCTGCGTCTTATACACCGAATGTAGCCCTCCCGCCCCCACCCTTCGGCTGTTTTCAGCCTCAGCGTGTCACGTTTTTGGCCTCCACACGCTGTTTTAGACCTGTTCCAGGCTGTGGGAATTGCCGCAGTATATCGCCGCCTCTGCACGTTGAGTTTTTGACCTCTGCACGTCCTGTTTTTGCCTCCGCGTATTGCATTTTCGGGCAGTTCCAGGTGGCGGGGATCAGTGGCAGCGGTGATCCCTGCCACTTGGAACCGCTTGAAAATGCGACATGCAGAGGCCAAAAACGGGGTGTGTGGAGGCTGAAAATGTAACGCGCGGAGGCAGCGATGTGCTGTGGCGATCCCCGCAGCCTGGAACGAGTCTAAAATGGAGCGTTCAGAGGCCAAAAACACGAGGCACAGAGGCCAAAAATGCGAGGCATGGAGGCGGCAATGGTCTGTGACAATCCCTGCAGCCTGGAACAGCTGATTGGGGGTATTCCGGAAGGCCGATCCATCCGCCAATCTGCTGCTCGTGCTGAATCAGGCTGCGATAACGTGTTGAAACCGACCGGGCTGTTTGCTATTTGCTGCAAGGACACTAAGCAGATGAATACCGACGGATGCTGGTAGGCAAAGATAGAATTTTTTTCCCTTGTTTTCCTCCCCAAAAACTAATGTGTGTCTTATACTCCGAAAAATACGGTACTTTTTTTTTAGAACTGACTAAATAAAACTGACTACCCAATGTTTCCCCTTAAAATCAAGTATGTAAAGTTCTATTGTAGAAAAATAAAGATCTCTAGAATAAACATTTTCAGTAATTGTTTGGCAATTAGATTATGATGTTTCAGATAATCTCTGTTTGAAGAGCTGGTTGAGGGGCTTTCGGCCACTGTAAGATACAGGAATTTGACTGTAAATTTTCCATGTTCAAAGGGTCCATACTGCTAGCTGCAACACTATGAAACTGATGTTCAATATGCACATTATGAGTTGTTTTCCTATTGAGTGTGAGCACACAGTGAAGAAAATTGCTGTGTTTTTCAAATAATTTTTTTTTAAAGTACCAGAAATTATGAACACATAGGTAACCTATATACTAGGAAAGCTATAAATTAGGAAGAAGAGAAGGGCCTGCAGAATTGTTTCTAGAGATGCTCATGGGGCAGAATGAAACATTCACATAATCATATAATCTCTTTTATAAAGGCACTAGCTTCCAAGCAAATATTCGAAATATAGATAACTGGTTCTCAACAAATGTGCTCAATGGACTCAATATGTACGTACAGGCAGTCCTCAACTTATGACATTTAATGATGGTTCAAAGTTACAACAGCCTTGGGAAAAGCAATTTATAATCTGTACTTTCACTTATGACTAACGCATCATCCCTGCAGTCATGTGATCGCAATTGGGCTGCTTGGCAATCGGCTCACATGGTTGCAGCAATTTGTGACCTTTTTGTCATTTTTGGGAAAAAATGTCCATTGAGAAAGCTGGATTTGCTTACTGATCGTGTGATTCACTTTAACAATTGTGTTGATTCACTTAATGGCTGTAAAAATTATCATAAAATCAGATGTAATTCAACTTACAATCACAATGATTTATGATGGAAATTCTGATCCCAACTGTGGTCATAAGTCAAGGACTATCTGTAATTGAAGCATACCTTGAAAAATATCATAATAGAGGTGGTAATCGTATGAATATCCATTTTGGGGGGAAAAGTTTTGTTTCTATTATAATAAGGCTAAGGTTCTTTTAAGAGGGACTGCTGTAATTTACGATATAAAAAGTTTTGAGCACAACGGCTTCAAAATTCATATTAAAATGGTTACATCTAATTTATTAATAAAAGATTTATACAATTATATACATATATACATATACATTTACATAAATATAACATTTACAGTCTCTTTTCTTTACTCAGTTTTTAAACAAACACACAGCTTGAGGTTATACTACCGTTTCTTTTGACTCAGCCAATTGCAATGGGTTAAAGTTTACAACTTCTTTATACGTGATACCTATAAAAGTTAAAGAAAACAAAAATATTCACGTTAGATTCAGAATTTTTTTTTTAAAAAAATCAAAATTTAGTAAAATGGTGCAGTAATCCAGATTTGGGAGAAGGAGGAAAGTGATCTGGAGCTTGGTGTAGGCAAGCATGTCACATTTGTTCACTAAAATTGTTTATCTTTTCTTGAGATCTCATAAATGTGTTAATAAGTGTATTAACCAATGTCGTCAGTAGCTTAAGCTTGAGGTCTCCCATTTAGCTATAGACTAACTTTTAAAACACAATTTATTATATTCAATTCTAAAATGCTAGCAGCAATAAATTAACCTCATTATATATAACATCTTGAATTTTGGGCTCTATTTTGTAAATTTGAATTGGTCCAATTAAGGCATAGCTGCACATAGCTGTTGATGATGGTAGCTTTTCCAATTATATATTTCAGGTATTTTAAGCATCCAATGACTAGAAACCAAGATGGTGCAGTTCCCCTTCCTCTTCCTTCACTGATTTTCAGAAAAAGAGCCAGTTTGCTCCTACTACGGTACGTTGAAAGCCACCTAATACAGAAAGCAGTTGATGATTTTCATGGCATGGAAGTATATTGCTTGCATATATCTCCCCAATTAATTCCCGTAATGCAAAATTTACAGAATGCTGTCAGCAAATAATATTTCCCCCTCATAATAAGGGCAGCTTTAGTAATTACTATTAAATTTATACCATGCCACTTCTGCTTATAGCAGCTTTCATAGCTATTTTCATTTCTCCTTGCTGTTCTCTCATTTCTTGCCCATCCATGTGTATTCAAGCCAATTGTAGAATTGAGCGTAGAAAAGACATTTGTCTAAGAGTTTGGAAAATTAATTGGAAGAGAGGGAATAATGTAGGTCAAAGAGACAGAATGGAACAGCAAGGACAGAGAAGTATTTCTATGTGTCTTATTTAATGCAGCAGATTCTTCAGTTCCCCTGAATTATATTTTAATTAAAATGTGTAAAAATCTATTTGAAGAATGTAGATAAGGTTTCCTACACCAATCTCATCGTCATTAGAAGACTGCTATTCAACACAACAATTCCAAACATACACTTCCATTCATCCAGGGGCAGATCCATGTTGTCAAAAGTGTCATCATATTTCTCTGCTTTGTTTTCCTCGTCAGGATCATGAATGGTTTCAAAATAAGAATGTGCCAAAGCTTCACTTGCTGTTATTCTCTTCTCTGGGTCTAATACCAGCATCTTTTCCAAAAGGTTCACAGCTGGATCAACAAATCAGAAAGGAAGTTTAAGGACAAATTCGCTGGAAATAGATCAAGCATGTATTTTGTGTAAGTTCTGCATCTTCTAGAGATCATGTAGTTCTTCAAAGAGCAAAAGCTCAAAGAAGTTTAATTTATAATGAAATGTATCTAGCAGGAAAAGCTGACCTTTATTAGCCAGATAATCTGACAATTATGAAGAAATTATTCAGAAAATAATTCTACAATAAAATTTTCACAGGGTACAAAGACAATCTTGAAAGTTTTCTTATGTGATAGGATAGAAGATAAGTCAGTCTGTTTACTATCCTGATATCACATAATTTTCTAATATACTACATCTATCAATATTTAACTTACCTGAAGGGTTTGCATTTTTCAAAATGGCAGCAAAATCTTTTTTCTGTACTTGTGGAAGGCTTTTGATATAATTTTTTGCCTTAAAATAAATAGACACAAAGATTACTGGATATTGTTTATTAATTCAGGAAATGAAATGAAGAAAAAGAAATTGGATGCTATCAAACTGGGTTTTATTCCTGGTGAATATATGGGGGAAAATGCACGTGTGGAATACACAGACAAATTACATAAGAGTTCACTTTGGATCTGAAGTTCCTAAATTAATTCATACAATTTCCCTACTTTCAGTAATTTCTATAGTTTAAGATAATTTAATTTTTTCTCAGACCATAGATGCAGGCAAATTATGAATCTTGGAAATGTGTGTACACACACATACATACACACAATTTCCCTTTTCCAGTCATATCATTAGAATGCAGTACTGCAGGCTACTTCTGCTGACTGCCGGCTGCCAGCAATTTGGCAGTTCGATTCTCACCAGGCTCAAGGTTGACTTAGCCTTGCATCCTTCTGAGGTTGGTAAAATGAGGACCCAGATTGTTGGAGGCAATATGTTGACTCTGTAAACCGCTTAGAGGGCTGTAAAGCACTGTGAAGTGGTATATAAGTCTAAATGCTATTGCTATGCCCAATTCTAGGGGGTGGTGCTCATTTATGTTTCTTAGCCGAGAGAACCAGCACTGTCCAAAGAAGCTTCCATGGTCATGTGGCCAGCATGACTATACACTGAGGTGCACAGAATACTGTTATCTTCCCACCAAACTGTTACCTATTTATCTATTCACATTTTGCATTATTTCGAACTGCTAGGTGGGCAGGAGATAGTAGAAGTAACGGGAACTCACCCTGTCACAGGGCGCTCAGATCTCAAACCCAGGCTGTTAGAACTTCTGATTGGCTTACTACAGAAAAGCTTATAAGGCCAGTACAAAAGTGCTATGTACAAGTGGTTCTCAACTTACAACTGTTTGTTTAGTGAATATTTGAAGTTACAACGGCATTAGAAAAGTGACTTACAACTGAGCCTTGCACTTACAACATTAGAACATCACCATGGTCACTTGATCAAAATTTGGGCACTGGCAATTGACATGTATTTATGACAGTTCCAGTACCCGGGGTGGGGGGGGGGGGGGTGTCATGTGATTGCCATTTACAACCTTCACAGCTGGCTTCCGACAAGCAAAGTCAATACGAGAGGCCAGATTTACTTAACAAAAAGGTTGTAAAATTGGACATGACTCACTTAACAACTTGCTTAACAACATAAATTCTGGACTCAATTGTGGTCGTAAGTCAAGGATTACCTGTATACAATATAAATCCAATTTGTAGTGAAATCAAGTTTTACATTCTTGTGCCTTTTATTTTTGTCTATATGATTTTTAATTTTTATTAATTAAATTTATATAGCTATGGATCTCATCAGAAGTGATGTCAGAGGTCTCTATTGGATAGGATAAACAGTTTCCACCTATCATTTTCTTGCGATCTTGTGACAATTTCTCACATCAAGTATACCTCACATAGAAAGGGGAAGCTCAGCAACATCTTAAGGGTAAAAGAATCACAATAATTAATTTAAAGTTTTAAACACAAGGTGCCTGAAATATTTCTTTAAAAATTAGAACCACGTAAAATTTCCTATGATGTATAGCGTTTAAGACAGCAATAATTTATATTAATGAGGTATGGATGACTGTGAACTAAAAAAGTTTCTAATAGTTTCTAACCAGATTTCCTTGGTTTGCTGCTTTCTATGCTGTGTTAAAAGAAAATCTCAAAATAGAACTAGTGCATTTAAATACCACAGAACCATCTATTTCTGAACCTGCTCATGTAAATTTGGCAAAAGCAGCAACTTACATCTTGGCTTTGTAGTTTCTGAACAAAATCCTGAGTTGGTGTGCCTGTAACTTTCATAATTTCTGTAAGCTGGTCCAGATCTGAATGTCAAAGTCAGGAATCAAATATTCAGTCAGCATGTTATTTAAAAAACGATATAATTAATCTGATTTTACTGTTGAAATCAAAGCATGTAACATACATACTTCATATACTTTTTCATAACTACCAGCAGTTGGCTAGGAATTCACAACTAAAAGGATACTCCTCAAATGGCTTAGGGCCGGGGTATCTACGAGACCGCCTTCTGCCGCCAATAGCTCCCACCGGCCAGTACGCTCGCACAGAGAGGAACTCCTCAGGGTGCCGTCGGCCAGACAATGTCGGCTGGTGACCCCCAGGGGGAGAGCCTTCTCTGTAGCGGCACCTGCCCTCTGGAACGACCTACCCCCAGAGATACGCACGATACCAGACCTCCGGACTTTTCGTCGGGCTCTGAAAACTCATTTATTTCATCTAGCCGGGCTGGCTTGATCCCATCCTTTCGGTTTTAATTTGAAATTGGTTTTAGCTGGGTTGTTTTAAATTGTGGGCCGAAATTATTTAATATCTTTTAAACTGTTTTTAAATTTTATATGCTATGTTTTATCTCGGCTTTCACCGCCCTGAGTCCTGCTGGAGAAGGGCGTTATAAAAATCAAATAAAAAATCAAATCGAATATTCATTAATGGGTCATCTTCACTTTTGTTTTTTTTACCACACTTTTGGTCATCTCAAGTGATTTCAGGCTAACAATTTGTAAAAGATTTGATACCTACATTAAAATTTTAGATTTCTTTCTTTGTTAAACTAGTATCAATGATCTCATCTTCCAAATTTTGAAGATAGAAAGCTATGTTGTCTTTAAACACTGATTTTTCATAACTCATTTTGTGCCTCTAAAAATGTCCATGACAGTAAAAAAAAGAGAGAGAGAGAGAAAAAAGGATAAACTCAAAGTTTAGCTGCATCAACACATATAAACTAAAATGCAATCCTATATGCCAAATGTTGGAACAAAAAATGTGACTTTCAACCAGCATTTAATTATATTTAATTTAATTAAAATAAGAGCCCTGGTGGAGCAGTACTTAAAATGCAGTATTGCAGGCAAACTCTGCCCACTCAGAGCCTGGAGTTCGATCCTGACATGGCTAGAGCCTTCAACCTTTCCAAGATCAGTAAAATGAGTGCAATATACAAATAATGCTTCTTCATTGTAAACTGCCCATAGACTGCTGTAAAGTGCTACAGGGTGGTACTGTATATAAGCCTAAATGCTGTTGCTATGAGCTGTGACAAACTATTAATCTGGCAACTTTCTGGCAAAGCTATATACCTCCAAAGCTGGCTTGATGTTTGCAAGTACTGGTATATAGCTCAACTGATCATTTTTCACTTGAAGTGATTACGAAGTGACTTACTTTGATACCTGAATTTTTGCATATTTCTCCAACTTAATGTGAAGCATTCATCAAGAAAGGATACGATCATTGCCCTTGAAAAGGGGCCTTCCCGTTACCATCTCAGCCATTATACACCCCACCGACCAGATATCTACTGAAATACAGAAAATGCACCCATTAAATTGATGTGAGCAGCATCTAAATTCAGCTCATCAATCAACAACAAAACCTTTAAAAAAAGCAACAACGCAAAATCAGTGTTTTGTGATTTGTAACTGAAAATGTATGTTCTATTTCTGCAATTTCAATAGTTCAATGAATGCTTTTTTAGAACGTTAACAGTCTGAGCTACAGGAATCTTCTTTGTTTCAAAGTTTCTGTTCTTTAGCATTGATGAAGCTGCTAGGTATATCCAAATCAAAGCTGTCTGTTGTGCCAGTTCTTTATTACATTTTAAATTTTCATGTAAGGAGCTCAGCATGATATAGTATCATTTCCATTTTATCTACTCATAAAACTCAGTGAGTTCTATGTACCAGTGGACTATTATTTTAAAAAAATACAAATAAAGCTTCTATTGTTGGCTTATTATTGCGGCAGGTTTTCTGCAAATACCAGCTTCCCTTGTCAGAAGTGTAATCAGTATGGTAATAACTAATAATTAAATAATATAGTAATTAATACTCAAAAGTAGCACAGAGCAAGTAATTGTTGGTCTAAGTCTGCAGAATAGCATGAAGAGGAAGAGGAGGAGGAGGAAATTGTGGGATATTTTATGTAATTACAATGATGATACATGTATCTGACATAGGACTACATGTATGAAAGGCAATACGGGTAGTCTTCATTTAATGATGGTAATTGGGCCGCAAGATATGTGATGGTTTGAGAGGCCAACATGATGGGGTTGCTGGGACCTGGCAAAACTTTCAGAATCAGTTATAAGTCTCCTTTTTCAGTGCTACTGTACCTTCAAATGGTTGCTGAACAAATGATTGGTAAATAAAGAGTACTTGTAGCAGAGTTTTCAGGAGTTACATATAGTACTTGGCTTCCAAGTCCCTATAGCCGTGATGACGAACCTATAGCACACGTGCCATAGGTGGCACACAGCGCCCTCTCTGTGGGCACACAAGCTGTCACCCCAGTTCAGCTCTGTTGCGCATACGCGTGCACCTCCCACAGGCCAGCTGGTCATCGGGTCTCTGCTGTGCATGCACAGGGGCGGTGTGTGTGTGTGTGTGTGTGTGTGTGTGTGTGTGTGAGTCGCATGTGCATGGGGGCAGTGGTCATGCGCATACATGGGGGGGCGCAAGGCACATGTGGGGGTGTCGCAAGCACATGCGCGGGGCACATATGGGGCCGAGCGTGCATTGCATTTGGGGGGTTCGGGCATGCACACGCGCATTTGCGTGTGCTTTGGGCACTCGGTTTGGAAAAGGTTAGTCATCACTGCCCTATAGTAAGGGGCCACTGTTAAGAATGGCTGAATAGGAAAACCAGACAAGTGAAGTCAGACATTGCAGAAATGGCAAAGCCTTGAAACCCAAGAGTTTCAGAAACCTACCTAATGTCCTGCAGATGATTAGAACTAAGATGTTTCCCTCTAGAAATGATATAGAAATTAATATGCAAACAGTTACACTATCTGTTGTTTAATTCTTTGCAATTTTATTCAATGTCTCTGCAAATAAAAAAACTGAGTTTTTTGGTTGGTCTACAAAGTGATCACAAGGTAGTTTTTGTAAAGCTGCTACTCTTTTGCAATAGAAGTGATGAAATTATATAATCAGTGGTTACAGAAACCCCAGCACAGAACAAGAGTTTCTAGCAAATACAAAAATTACCTGTTTGTGTATAATGCATCCAATTAAGTATAACTTCTGGGGCTCGATACCACCTAGTAACCACATAGCCAGTCATCTCACTATCTGTATGTCTTGCCAGCCCAAAATCTAAAATCTGTTTTAGAGGAACAAAATATAATCAATTTTCATTTCTAGAATTATCATAAAAACCTTGAATTGGAATGAGATTTGTTCAAGTTAGAAAATATTCCTAAACATTTCCCTAAAAATATAAATCTATTCCCTTGAAAATAGTTAAGAGAGATGCCTAACAGGCGACATTACATTTCTGTCGCACTGCTAAAATACTTATTTCTCATATCCATATATTTTCTCATTCAATTTACAACATTATCCAAATAATTGATTGCAATGAAATAATACCCTTATTTTAGAGGAATGCAAATTGTTATTTGGGTTTTGTAGCTTTGTTCATATTAAATATCATTTTTGCAAGTAAAGGATAAGAATCTCAAAGGCCTATTCATTACATGCTATTTATTCAAACATCATAAATGCAAGTTTGGCATATTACATTTTTCCTGACAGTAGTAAGTGGAAATCTCAGTTCACAGGAATTATTTTTTACAATATATAATCATAAAGGCAGAAAACTGAAATAACATGAATTTGGCTTATTATTTATATTCAAAGCTACTGAGAAAGCTTTGAGCTTACTTTAGGCCATGACAATGTAGCTGGCAGACATAGATTTTCTTCCCCCATTATCAGATATTCCAAAATGCCATTCAAAGGGTCAAAGACCTCAGGCTCCAAGCATTACATAGGGTTCAGGGTTACTATGCTCAAAGTGGATGGAAATACAATTTGAAAATCAGTCTCACTACTCATTACTGCATGTACCAATATGTGGATCCAACTCAATGCAATTTTTTAAAAATTAAATTGCTATGATTTTAAAAGTGAAAAAATGAAATAAAGCACTTACAGGTAATCCTCCACTTATAACCAAAACTGGACCTGAAATCTTGTTGCTTGACATACAATGGAACTATTTTGTTCACTGACTGCAATCCTGCAATCTCCAACTTGCAGCTGTGGGTTGTTAAGCAGACTGCTGTGGTTTGGGCTTCCAGGGCATGGTGGAGAGGGCCCAGGCCAAGGAGAACAATCACCAGAATGCTTATTGACTTTCTGGGTGTTAGGCAAACACACACACACACACACACACACACACACACACACACACACACAGTTTGAGTTAACTACTTTATTATGTTCTGTCTATAATATAGGAATCTCCTCAGTCTAGCAGCCTACTCTTAGGAATGACCTTAGCCCTTTAGCAGTCAAGCAGTGATTCTAGGCTAGCTCTGAGCTTGATCTGTCCCCAACACTGGAGGACCTGGCAGCGAAAATTGTAATTTTCAGGACATTTGGCAACTGATTGTAAATGTGAACAGGTTGCCAAGTGCTCAAAATGCAGTCATGCGATCGGAGAGCAATGTGACATTTTATTATGGCAGGAAGCACTTTATGATCTCTAAAGCACCCATTTCAAGGCTGTAATGACTGAGCAATCATTAAATAACTGGTCATAAATTGTGGACTACCTGTAATTGCTTTCTTATATTAAAGTTGCAATTTAATAGTTGGCAGGTAAGAAGCTTTGCATACTTTCAGAGGATTTTGCTACAAGATTTCTTTGAAAATACTCTACATCTGACCCTCTGTTTAATTTCTCTTTTTCTGTTGGAATATGTTTTAAAAAACAGTGAATCTGTTTAAACACACCTATGATGCTCTAACAAAACTTAAGCAATTTATGTTGCCTTTATGTGCTGTCCTAGGGATTATTGCTTGTTGGAAATATTGTGTGTTTGCCATGAATTCATACAAATCCTGAACTCAATAACCAGTTACGGTTGTAACATAGACCCAAATTGAAGATCATACTGAACTGCTTGTAGCTTCAGCCAATCCATACTAACAATAGTAACTCAAAAATAATTTAATTTTTGAAGCTTTTTATATGAACCCCATCAACAGAGCCTTTATTAAGATGCTCAATTGTCTTAAATGAAAGTGAAAAGCCCTAGAGCCATGATGGCAAACTTATGGCACACGTGCCACAGGTGGCACACAGAGCCATATCTGTGGGCACACAAACATTGCCCTAGCTCAGCTCCAGCTCACATGGATGTGCCAGCCAGCTGATTTTCGGGCCTTCTGAACTCACTGGAATTTGGGAAATGGGCTGTTTCCTGCCTCCAGAGGACCTCCAGAAAGCCTCTGGAGCCTGGAGAGTGAAAAATGGGCCTTCTGGTCCCACTGGAAGTCGGGAAATGGGCCATTTCCGGCCTCCGGAGGGTTGGGGGGGGAGAGAAAGGCCATTTTCGCCCTCCCCAGGCTCCTAGAAAGCCTCTGAGCCTGGGGAGAGCGGAAAACAGGCCTTCTGGTCCCACCGGAAGCTGGGAAACGGGCCATTTCCGGCCTCTGGAGGGATGGGGAAGGCTGTTTTCACCCTCCCCAGGGTGCAAAAAAGCCTCTGGAGCCTGGGGAGGGTGAAAAACGGGCTTACCTAGCCCACTGTGCCATCATGTGCCAAAAGCGGGGGGGAGCACAGGGGGTCGTGTACGCATGCACGGGGGGGGGCATTGAATTATGGGTGTGGTCACACATGCACACAACCCCCCCCCCCCCCCCCCCCCCCGCTTTTGGCACACGCCAGCAAAAAGGTTAGCCATCACTGCCCTAGAGTGTCTGCTCAGCATTTTATTCCCATTACCCCAATCTAGGACTGCATGCTATGTTTCCAACTTGTATCTTATTTTCCACAGCTTAATTAAAGATACCTTTTGAAAAAGAGAAATGGTGTTTTGTAAAAGACAAAGACTTGATTCTGCTGTCTTCTTACAAACAACGGGATGAAATCGAATAATTATGAAAACATTCAAGCTTAAAGCTTCTGGAAAAATGTTAACAAACTTCTTTTACAAGCAATCATCCTTACATAGTGTGCAATGTTGCAGAGTCTATCCTTACTCAGGAAATATGCAGTTAATCCAGGCACACAGACATTAACAGTCTATTATTTCACACAATAGTGCTACAGACTGCAACCTGTTCTCATTTTTAAAATGCTTTTTGCGTTAGTTGTATCTGACATAATTCCAGATTCCCCAGTATTTACTTCTGAAAAAGCCACTAGAGCATTCAGTTTCTTACCTTCAACTCGCAGTCTTCATTAACCGCTAGATTTCCAGGTTTTAAATCCTATAAAATATTTAAAACAAGAAATCTAAAATTGAATTCATTTGCAATTGGAAGTATTTATTTCAAAGGAAGGCATTTTTTTCATTTGTTCAAGACAAACAATGGCCCAGAATGCAAATGGGCTGATGTATTGCCAAATATGAACATAGGGACCGATACTCAAGGGATCAGAAGCTTCTCTGGCAGTGACTGAACAATTACAGAAGCCAAGGGAGCAAGCAAAGTATTTTTTTAAAAAAATCCAAAATCAAACAGGTATGTGCATGTATATCACTATAACATTTCCACTGAGCAAAATGAAAATATTACAAGCATGCAAAATCCTGATTTCCTTTCAATCAATCACAAAGGAAACCTGTACTATTCATTGCGTTTATACTGAATTGGAAATAGTTATTGTAATAATTCCTGAAGGATAGTTTAATTTGCATTTAAACTGTGACTTTGTAAACAGTACATCAAAGAACCCAAGGAATACATTATCAAGTTCTCATTAAAACAGCAAAGACTTTTTCAAAGAAGCCTTGTAGGTATCAATATTTGAAATTGTGCAATAAACATTATCTTTCTTTGTATATTTCAGTATAAAATTTCAGTATAAAACTCCAAGCATTATATATGGATATGTGATTGAAGAGAATCTTGCTACAAAAATATCTAAACCTATCTAAACCTATAAAAAAGGAAAGCTTGAAGAGTTTTACTTACTCTATGAATTATGCCAGATGAATGGATATACTGCGGAAAGAAACAAAAAATATTTTACTCATTTGTTATCGATGAAATGTTTTGGTTTTTTTTTGATAAATGTTTATTTTTTAAAACAAAAAATAAATAAAATAGAACATATCTTTTCAAAATGAAGCTTTCGCTCTGGTCACAAATTGAAACAAATCATTAACTAATCTTATTTTCAATTAACGCAACTCAATATTTTAAACAGATATTTCCCTCATATAACTATATATATAATATATATATAACTATATCATTATCCTCAAAAACCCATTACTTAAATCTTAAATCCTATCCAGTTAACAATTCATTTTTCTCTTTCATTTGCTTAGATAGATATTTTGACAATATAAATCATACAATTATATTAGACAAATTAAACATTCATTAATTATTTAATTAGTATTAAAACTAATTTATGCATTTTATCTTAACTATCACTCTCAACATGCACCTCCTTGTTTTGATCACTCCACCTCTTTTTATTATCTTTGATGTTAAACCAATCATTTCTATTTCTTGACTGTTAATCACAGCATAACCGTTTGTTTTAGCTATTAAATATAGCATATTTTTATTTTTTGGCCGTTACCCAGCATGCCCTTTGTTTGGCTGTTGAACACAGCATATTAGTTTTGTTTTTTGGCCGTTACACGGCATCTTCAGGTTTGTTTGGCTGTTGAACATAGCATATTAGTTTTGTTTTTTGGCCATTACACGGCATCTTCAGGTTTGTTTGGCTGTTGAACACAGCATCTCTATTTTTGTTTTTTGGCCGTTACATGGCATATTAAGTTTCATTTGGGCTGATACCCAACATGACCATTTGTTTGGCTGTTCTATACAGCATATTATAATTTTTTGGCTGTTAAATACAGCACATTCATAGTTGGTTTAACAATCTCTACTTAAACCTTTCTTCGTTGCTTCCCTCCATCTATGCATTGCTTTTCATTTAGTCATATTTTCCTTTATCTTTTTTCATAGCAATCATAACATTTTAACCTTGAGACATGGTTCTTGCTTAAAACATATTTTTAAGTATATTTTTAAATTCCTTTTAACATTTTCAATTAATCATATTCACCCTTATTCTTTATCTTGACATTTTACCATTAAAACATAGTTCTTGCATTAAACATATCTTTACATGTATTAATTAGTTTCATTTAACAATTTTAATTTCTATAAAAGCCTCCCTTTAATTTATTACAATCATCTTTACTTTATTTTATTTTTAATCACATTATCTTCATTTCCTTGTCTGCAAACATAAATTTCTTTCCATTTTCCAAGTTTTTAATTTTATTCTCCATAAATCCAATTAGATCTCTTTTCATATTTTTATTCCAGATATAATGTATCAAATCTCTTTCTTTTGGGGCTGTGCTAAATCCTTCTTCTATTCCTGCACCAACATTCAAGTTATTATTTGTTCAATTGTAGGAGTTCCATTGTAAATTCCTTTTCTTTTCACCCAAGTCCAGCTGCTTGCAGTCAGGAAAGAAAAATCCTCCTCCACAGTTCAGCAATTTTTTTTTCTGTAGAGCTCAAAATTCTCATAACAAAGGGAGGTTACAAAGTTCCTCTTTGTGCCAGATGGTGTCTCTCTATAATTCACATTTCCCAGTAGTCATGCAAGACTCCATTTTATTTCTTATTATATAACCATTGACTTTATTTTCTTCTTTTGGTTAAAAAAGTATCAAATCTTTTTTCCCCCTTAGTCCAATTCAGATTTTAAAGTGTTTAGTCCTTTTACCAAATCTCTAAATTAAGTCTCTTAATTCTTGTTCCAAAATTAGTTGTTTCTCGGGTCCTTGTTCTTTAAAGTTGCAGTTTAATTTTTTTTTTTCAAAGCCCCTTTGTTACTTAGCCGCTGTTTTAGGCTAGGGGTTTTCTAGTTACTGATATAGCTCCAAACGTTGTTACAAGCCTGGGTTGTTGTCACTCACCTGGCTTCAAAAGGCTCCGTTTTACTTCGCTTTCCTCCAGGACTTTTCTTGCCCGGTTGTCCCAGCTTCGTGGCAGCTGTCATGGCTGCCGCCCCCTGCTGCCGACTCACAGAGGGTTCCCTCTGACCTCTGAGGAACTTGCCTGTTCCTCTTGGTCTTCCAAGGCGCCCCTCTTCTTCCCCCGTCCCTGCAGGACAGATTCAGTCCACAGACCCATCGGCAGCGGTTCGGCAGCTGGGGTTTTCGTGGGACTCATCAGAGCCCGCTATTTCCCTGACTGTCTTGCCGCGACGTCAACCGGAAGCTCCGCTATCGATGAAATGTTTTTGTTGTTCTTCCAAAGCTTTGCAAGACAATGGCAAAAACAATCCACAGAGAACCACTGTGAACCACAAGTAGTCATCTTCATCGTGATCGGACTTTCCTTTTTTTTTCTTGATTTTAAAAAAGGTCTTTGCTAAGCGAAACATCAGGCTGTAATTTTGTCTATATTTATAGATATGCCTCTGGATCCCATAAAACCTCTTTATAGTTTTTAAGAATAAAAAATGGTGTCTTTAATGGTGCACTTTGCATGAATACCCAACTGTTAACGGATAAAGGTAATTTGAGGCAATAATGAGAATCTTGCAAGATTAGAATATGAGACATAGAAGAGGCTCATCTGTCTGCTTTCTCATAAATGCTATTTTGTGACCTGAATGCCCCCACTCCAGGGGTGAAATCCAGCAGGTTCTGACAGGTTCTGGTAGAACCAGTAGCAGAAATTTTGAGTAGTTTGGAGAACCGGCAAATACCATCTCTGGCTGGCCCCAGAGTGGGGTGGGAATGGAGATTTTGCAATATCCTTCCCCCGGGAGTGGGGATTTTGCAGTACTTCCCCAGCCACACCCATAGAACCGGTAGTAAAAAAAATTGGATTTTACCATTACCCTACTCTAACGTTTGTTATGTGAATGGGCAAGAGTTCATAGGAAGCAGCCATTTTGTCAGTGTCCATGACAAGGTTTTGAAATTAAAATTTGTTTTTCAATTCAAAAAGACTCTACTTCCTATACTTTAGTTGTGTTTCATGGAAGTTGCAATGTAAGAAACCTAGAAATCAATATTTGTTTCAGTTGTCAGAAATCAGATATCTAGATTGAGAAACATATGAGTGGAAAATTCAGAATTCTTCTATCAAACCAAGCACTGTTAACTGGATGATTATTTCTTTGCTGCAGACCAACAATTCACCTTACCTACATATATAGGAAACCAGTCTTTTGAACTATGGCTCAAGACTAATTATCTGCCTTTCTTCTTTGCAAGCACTAAACTTCCAGATAAAACGAATTTGCAAAACAGAGCTTGAATGGTGCTTTTGTATACCATAGCTCTACTTGGGTTCTATTTCTGTCCTTGTTTCCTTTCAACAATGGCATTGCCATCATTATGGGATTCCCAAAGTAGAGCCTTCAGCCATTTTAATCTTAGCCTTCTTCTTTCTACCGTGTTTTCCTGAAAATAAGACCCTGTCTTATATTTTTTTGAACCCCGAAATAAGCACTTGGCCTTATTTTCGGGGAGGTCTTATTATTTTGGGGTGCATGGAGCAAGATGGGGCTCCTCTTGCTGTCTTACCTAATTTCCAGCTCTACGTTTAAATATTTTCGGGGAGGGCTTATTTTCAGGGGTAGGCTTATTTTAGCGCATGCACTCAAAAGCCCAATGGGGCTTATTATCAGGGGATGTCTTATTTTTGAGGAAACAGGGTACTATATTAGCAGAAAAAAAAACATTTAAAATCTTAGCATGAGCCCTTACATTTGCACAACATATTCACAGTATATTTTGTGTAGAAGAAATGAATTACTAGTCCTACAAGTAGGAAAGGATCATTATGGAAATATTCTTAGGTAAGCAAAGCTTCCTAAGAAGCTAACAAGGAACAGGGAAAAGCAATGATTTCTGCTGGAGATTCTGTAATGTAGTGATGAATGTGATGGACTAGGGAGTGGTAAGGGAGAGATTCAAGATCCACCTGAGCCATGAAAACGCAGCGGATGATTTAGAATCACTCTTGCAATTCAATATATCTCACGGGGTTGTTGTTATGGGAGGATAAATGCTATCAGTATCCTCAAACTTGTAAAGGAAAGGTAGGAAATCAATCAAATAAATATATGAAACCATTCTTAATCCTCTGTGACAGTACTACAATATCAAATATCCATTTCTTTTTCAAAAAGGTTGTTTTCATTTCTTGTTGCCATAACAGGCAGTATAAACAAACATGAAAAACAGCCAGGTGTTGCTTCTCAGCAAACACTAGGTACAATATTTAGGCCTTTCCATTCTCCCTGCACCTGGGCCAGATTGCACATTGCAACTGAGATGGCTTTCTGGCTTAAAAGAACCAGAGCACTACATGAGGCCCAAGGTAATCAAAGGCCATTGTTGTTTTCCTTGCTTGGTTTGCAGTAAATTCAACAAGGTCTAAACTGACCACAAAATTCCATTCCATTCCCATTCCATTCTCCACTCCATTCTATTCTACTTTATCCCTATCCATCATCTCCATCCTTACTCTATTCTTCCCTTCCTTTCTCCTTCCCTCAGCAAGTAAAGGGAGAGATAATTTACCATAAATTCTGAATCTAGAAGAGTAAATGATTGCTCCCAAATAAGTCAGGATCTTCAAAACAATTTTATAACATGTTTTAAAGGAGGCTTATAGAACTTGAAAGGACACAGTGGCTCAGATGCTGAGCTTGTTGATTGAAAGGTCTCCAGTTAAGCGGTTTGAATCCCTAATGTTGCGAAATGGGGTGAGCTCCTGTTACTTGTCCCAGCTTCTGCAACCTAGCATTTCGAAAGTACATAAAAAATGCAAGTAGAAAAATAGGGACCACCTTTGGTGGGAAGGTAACAGGGTGTGCCTTTGGCGTTTAGTCATGCTGGCCACATGACCACAGAGACATCTTCAGACAGCGCTGGCTCTTTGGCTTTGAAACGGAGATAAGCACCACCCCCTAGAGTCGGGAACAACTAGCACATATGTGCAAGGGGAACCTTTACCTTTACCTATAGAACTTGGATATTTTAGGACCAAAACTGCAACCCCAGCTTCAGACAAGTCATGAAGCAGTTTATTTTTATTTGCTAGGATTCCTCATTTTCTACACAGTACAAATAAGGTTCATAAGTAAACGAATTAAACAGAATCTTCACATTATCTTCAAATTAATTAAATTTAGAACTAATAGAGAAGCTACAAGGGTTTGTGCAAATAATCAAGGTTTATAAACCTTTATGTCCTTGTGGTTTTCTTGTGGCAAGGGTTTTCTGAAGTGGTTTGCCATTGCCTCTTTCCCAGGGCTGAAAATAACATGTCCAAAGTTACCTGGCTAGTATTGTGCCTAAGGCAGGACTAGAACTCACTACCTCCTGATTTCTAGCATGATGCCTTAACTACTACTTATCATAGGAAAGGCTATTGTGTCTCAAGAAAATGGTGGCAAAAACCAACAAGCAATTAATTATAAGAGAAAAATCTAACCTTTAGGCCCTTTAACATCTGGTAAACAAGGAACTGGATTCTATCTTCAGTTAGTTTCTCATGCTTCATTATTTTACTTAAGTCTGTTCCCATAAATGGCATGACAAGGTAGCTAAAATGAAAAGGCAGTTAAACATTAACTAAATCAAGTTACATAGTCTAATTGTAATATTGTATAGTAGCAACTTAACATGTAAAGGCATGCCATATTATAAAAATTTCAGTTAGAAGATATCAGGACAGTATAGAAAAAACAAATCTATCTTTAAATATGAACACTAAATTAGAATTCAGGTAGTCCTGGACTTACAACCAAACTTGAGCCCAAAACTTTCATTGCTAAGCAAAAGAGTTGTTAACTGAATTTTGCCACAATTGTTAAGTGAATCACTGCAGTCATTAAGTTAGTAGCATGGTTGTTAAGTGAATCTGGCTTCCCCATTGACTTTGCTTGTGAGAAAGTTGCAAAAGGGAAGCATATGTCCCTGGGACACTGCAACTGTAATAAATACATGCTAGCTGCCAATCAATCAAATTTTAATCACAGGGGATGCCGCAATGGTTGCAAGTGTGAAAAATGGTCATGTCAATTTTTTTCAGGACTGTTGTAACTAAACAACTGGTTGTAAGTCAGGGACTATCTATATAATAAAAAGGTCAATGTAAAAAGAAGTGAAACCTTGAAACCTTTCCTAAAATTCTAGAGAACCAGTAGCAAAACTCTTTTCTACAATGCATTACGTAGGTTGAGAGCAAGATAGAATTTACTTTGGATTATAAAATAACCATGTAAAAATTGGTCCTATTTTCCGGTAAACATTATCTTATATAAAGGCTTCTGTTCTTTTTTTAAAAACTGAACACCACAAATGATTTATGCTTTAGAACAATAAATGTTGATTGATAACACTATCTACAGTTGGCATAGTTTTATACTAGCACATAAAACTGGGCTGAGCTAGAGGATGCAGGTTGCAAAATTACTCTTTTAATTCCTCCATCCTCTAGCTCAGGGGTGTCAAACTCACAACCTAATAATCAATCAATCAAAGGAGAGGCACGTGTGCTGTTAAGACTAAGACTGACAAAAAGATGAAGGCTGTTCCAACTGCTTTTTTGAAGATTGCAATATAAATTACTTTGAAGGACCAAGACTTGGGTGCTTTGGAACAGGACAGATAATGTGAGAAGTTCTGGCACATGGAGAATTATTATCTTGCTTGCCAGAAGTAATAAAATATCATTAATGCTTAATTAGAAGTCCTACTAAATTAAATGAAATCCACTAAACATGTCTAAGGTAGTCCAATATATACCCTGCTATCAATTATTTAAATTCAAAGGGAAACAGTGAAATTTGCAGAAAACCGATTAAACACGTAAAAAGGGGGCAGAAAAAAAGCAAGTACTTTTCAGCTTCTGGGAACTATATTTAGTGCAAGGGAAAAAGCAGAACTTTCTGATAAAAAAGATAACAAAGAACCAGACCTGGAGGGCTGACAATTGTTGAATAATGAAAACACTGATGTGTGCTTTCCTCCATGATTTTATTATGGCTAATGTGCCACAGCTTATGAATATTGCAAAGCTGCCGAATAGCTCGCAAGCTATTCCAATAATATAAGTAACCAATGACAAAAAATATGGTTGAAGTAACTTAATAACTGTAGCCTTTTAAAACTAATACATGTATGATAGATATTACTGTGTTCACATGTAATAAGAAAATGCAGGACTTTAAATACAGGGTTAAAAGCTGACAAATAGATGGAAAAATGTAATAGTAATTTAAAGCAAAAGAAAAGGGGGAAAATAAACTATTTATAGAAGCAATTAATTGCAGAAACCCAAGTAACTAATAAAAGTTTCATAGACTTCTCTGGCTAGATGGGGCGGGAAAAATTACATATTTCTATTTTTGGACAAATAGCTTAAACTTCCCAAGTGTTGCACTCTACAGCACCCATCAGTCTCAGACATTTTATATGTTGATTGAATACAACAGAAACTGTGGATCAACACCTGGCTAATGTGAGTAGAAAAAGTTGCTTTAGGTTTTAAATGGCTAAGCCAATCTACTTTTTAATAAATAACTAGATCTTCCAATACCTAATTATAAATAATAAACATGCTTTTGTTTTTTTTAAAAAATCAGATATTTAACTAATCTGGCAAAACAAAAAATGGCATATAAACTTAACAAATAAATGAATGAATTACTTCTGTATGTCCTCCGGATTTATTTGGTAAAATCTTAACCATTAAAACTAGAAAGATCTTTCAGTTTAATTTTCTACGTAATGCTATAAAGAGGTTAACAACTATCTCTAAGTTCATAGTTTGTAAAAACATAGATGGTTGTGATGTCATTTTATTCTATATAAAGTCACGTGATTCTTGCAGCATAATGACAATACTCACCAACATCTACATTAATGTATCCTAATATGAAGAACCAGATTCCAAACTGTTCCAGTTAACTTCAGACCAAGCTTAACCAAGAACAGGGGTAGCTACTAATTTTCCCAAGGGGCCACATGAGAAACTGGGAATGTTGTGGAGGGCCACCGCCACCCTGCCAATGCCCCACCATCTGCAGGTGCTACACAGGTATTCTGCCCCCGACATTCTCCCCCCCAACATTGCTGAAGCTGTTCTCCCATTGATGCCAATGTCATGTGCCAGACTAGAACCTGTGAGCCATAAAATGCCCAGGTCTGCAAGAAGGAACAATAATGCCATCAATATAAATACAGAGAAATTTGAGATCAGCATCTATTTTAGTGTAAATCATAACACAGGACCCAAAGTTTTCCCCAAAATTATACACTTACAAGTCATTAAATTTATCCAGTGAAGAATCTGGTGTGAAGACATCTAAAAGCCCAATTACCTACAGAAGAAGAGAAACACAAATAAGAAAATACTGCCATTGCAATTATTTGCATGAGAAACATTAATTGCCAGTCTACTTCCAGGTCCAGTTCAAGCTATTGATTATGATCTTTAAAGCCCTACATTGCATGAGGTCAGGTTACCTATGGAACTGTCTTTATCACATTACATCAGTCTGATCCACCTGATCATACAGGAAAGATGTGCTTCAGATCCCGTCAGTTAATGAATGACTGCTGGGGTCCACAAAGAGAGCTTTCTCTGCCTTTACCCCCACTCTGTGGAAGCCCCCCCCCCCCCCCGAGGTGAGACAGGTCCCCACTCTCTTGGCCTTCCATAAAGGTGATAAAAACACAGCTCTACATCTTTTCTTGCGCCAATGAAAGGGAGAGTTGGTACCCTGAAAGCCCCCCCCCCCAATTTTTAATCAATTTGTAACATCCCTTGCCTGTTTTAAATTTTACATACTGTTTTATATGTTTTTAATACTTTATTGTACACTTCCCAGAATTGCTTTGTGAAGGAGACGGACAGTTCTTAAATATGACAAACAAATAATTAGTGAATTCAGGGTTTATTTTGCTGTAGGGCAGGGGTATCAAACTCAAGGCCCGGGGTCAGGATCTGGCCCGCAGGGTGCTTAGATCTGGCCTGTGGAGCCACCCTGGAAACAGCAGAGGACCGGCCAGCGGTGCCTCTACCAGAGAAAACAGAACTTGGGAGGCCGCCGTTTTCACTGGCAGAAGGTGCAGGAGGCTGTCGCAGCCGAAAATGGAGCTCAGGAGCCTGTTTTCACTGGCAAAGAGCTTGGGCCACCATAGGCACCTCTGACACGAGTGACGTTGAGCTGGCCATACCCACTCTAGCCACCCGAGGTCAAACACAGCCTTGATGTGGCCCTCAATGAAATTGAGTTTGACACCCCTGCTGTAGGGAAATGGTATACTATATGTTGTATGCATATCATGTATACAGGTTGGATCTGAGCAACTGAGAGCAAATTGGAGCTGAGATTTCCCATCTCTTCAACTACTCTAAACACACTCCAGAAGTTATAAAAACTTCATATGAAGAAGCATTGTCAATAGAGATCAAATTTCCTTTTGCACTGCTTTGTTTGTGCAAATCTCTCCTTGGATCAGAAGAGAAAACTGTTGACCTGAAGTTTCCTTTGTGCATCTTCAGAGATTCCTCTACTGTAACTGTTTCTGCTCAAACTGACACCATTTTGAGGTAGGTATCAGAAGGAAATAATCTTAAAGATTTATCACAATTAAAAAATAAAGACTCTCACTATATTACTGCCATCTAAGTTCTGTTCATATGGAAGATGTAAAGCTCTTGTAGACATCATTCATCTAGAAAGATTAACTATGATCCTTTGCCACTAAAAGATTTCTACCCATTTTAGATTTGGTTTAGCAACACAGCATGCATAGATACCCCTCCCGTAAATATTTAATGAATAGATAAAATATTACAAGCCTGCAATTATCTCACAAATTCTCATGAAAATTCATGACCCACAAGCGTTCATCTGAGAAATGACAAAGCCAGGAGCCAAAAATGTGCTGAGCCTTGATTTACCGCATCCCATCAAGAAAACCTTGACCAAATTAGCTTGCATGAAAACACAAACCTGCCTGATTCTTACCCACTAATTTACTTGCTTGGCAGAAAAATAGATGATTAGTGCTGAAAAAGGGTAATTAATGGATTCAAAATATATTCAGTTTCCTCCATGCTAAAATGCAATGCTAAAACAAATACTCTCAAACAGCACTTTAACAAAACTGTTATGGCTTGAGTGGAATGGAATATTTGTAACTAGCAACAAGACAGCATTCTCTTCCTCAACCCCCAGATTCACAATCAGAACTGATAATTACTAGACAAAACATATAATGTTTAATTGGACTGAAAAGTAATCCTGTCAAGAACACATGGAAGTATTAACTGGTATAACAAAATCCTTTGGTCTCTTTAGCTTTCAAAAAAGGGGAACAGGCATTTTGCACAAAGTATTATTGTTCAGATATGGTAGTAAACTATTTACGTTATATATATTTAAATATTGTATCTATCTATCTATCTATCTATAGTTTTTTAATGCTGTAATTCCAAATCACAAAAATAATTAAGACTGCAGTACCAATATATTAAAAATCAGTTATAATTAAAACAAAATTTCAAAAACTGCATTTAAAGTTTAAAAACTGTTTTAAAGTTTCTCCCTCTTTTTAAACAATTTTTAAATATTTTTAATATTCAAAGTTTAATTTGTTTTAAATTGATTGGGTTTTTTTTTTAATCTGTCTGGGCCAAACTATTTAATTCGATTTTATTTTAAATTTTGTATGTATGTATTTTATTGTTGGCTGTTCACCGCCCTGAGTCCTTCGGGAGTAGGGCGGTATATAAATTAAATAAAAGTAAAGTAAAGTAAAGTCACAGTTCCTACAGAATTCCAGGCATTTAAGATAGCAATAGCATGGAAACAGAAATACACAGCCAAAGGGCTCGGTGAACGAAATATCAAACTGGCGCCACTTGTTCATTAGGCTCTATAACAATTCTCTCTTAATCATTAAGGCTTTTTAAAATTTGGCATTCTGTAATATTAGGCTACATATTAAGCTATGGTTAGCATTTTCACCCACCTGCTCTGTTCCTTTATTATCAGGACTATGAGATTAGTGTCTTTTTCAGTTCCAGTTTTAACTAAATAGACTTTAATTATGGATAGAGCTTAACTGTTATTCATTTAACCAATTCTGACTGCTGATTCTTTCAATAATGTTCAATAAGCTTTTGCAGACTGAGTGTTCCCTTTAGGAGTGTATTTTAAGGCTGGAAGAGGTTAAAGCTGGAAGAATAACAACTTTTAGGAGGCAGAAACACAAAAAATGTGTTGCCTAAATAGATAATTTTATTGATGACTTTTATTTGGGATTGTTCTGTTGAATTTATCCCAGGTTTGGGCTCAGAACTAATGTTAAATGGCATTCTCATAGCCACGCTTGGCAAAAAATGGAAGTTTGTTTATGAGGTGCTAAACTAGAGTTGTTAGTCAATGTTTGTCCATACTAGGCTTCTGTATCTCATGAGTCATGACCTGTTACTAATAATAGTTGATGAGGCAGTGGAGGAATGAAAGATTGTGCAAAATTTATTTATTTAGAAGAAATAGTAAAACAACGACAACAGTGGTTTAGATCATCATCTACATCCATGTTAGTCTATGTGAACTAGTTCCTGTTAGGCTGCTAAATCAGAGTGCGCAAGGATTTTCTGGGCTGTGGAACAGACGGTTTGTTAGAGCAGGTACTCACATTTTCATGCTTCATGTGCTTCAGAAGGCGCAGTTCCCGATAGGCTCGTTTGGCAAAAAGCTCTGATTGAAATGGGCGGTACAACTTCTTGATAGCCACCTTGCTTCCACTTTTCTGGTCAATAGCTGAACTTAACAGAGACAGAAGAGTTGAATTAGATGTAAATAGAGAAGACATGTGGACCTGTCAAGACAAAATAGCTACTGCATTAACCTTCTAAGGTGTAAAGATTCAGGTTCTACCTTTAATTGTGTTACAAGGGTGTCTATGAATCAATAAGGATGGTTGTTCAAATGAGGTTACCTCTGCCCTGTTCTCCTTCTAAGTGTGGCAAGAAGTTTGCTTATCTTGGGAAAATTCTTCATTGACTAGAGGCTCACTCCTAGCATCACCAACATGCTTCTACCTTAATAACAAACTAGTCTGCTTATTTATAAGTTTATCCAGAGGTCTTCAAACTTGGCAGCTTTAAGACTTTAAGAGCTATGCTGGCTGGAGAATTCTGGGAGCTGAAGTTCACAAGTCTTAAAGCTACCAAGTTTGAAGACCCCCGAGTTTATCAGTTTGAGAGGTGTATTGTAACAAGAAACCTAAGAAACTGCTCAAGTTGTATTGTTTCTCTAACTGGCACTGACTCACTGACACCTCTTTTCTATCACTTTCCATCACCTCCTTTTAAGAGGAGACAGAGAACTTCTGCATGAGAAACAGATACTTTATCAAAGAATTAAGAACTCACCTCAGCAGAATATAATTACTTAAGATCATGTTTCATGTAAGAGACAGAGAGAGACACCTGTGTTATGTGTGTGTGTAAGATAGATCAACAATATAATGTATTGTTATTTACTGGGGGTCATAGGCAACTCCAATCCAAAAGGTTGAAGCGACTTAGATTCACCTCTACAATAACCTCAACACCTGAGGAACAACCAAACATAACAAGTGGGGTTACACCATCCTCTTCCACTTCCATGGCCATGCTCTGATGTGTTCTGAAAAGCCAATGGAATTTGAGGCAGTTAAAACTTGAAGGGGAATGTTGTTCCAAAGCAGAGGCAACATGGTCTCTGGGGATGATATTCCATAGGGAGCTGGGCATACTCTTATATATGTCTTATTGGACAGGAAGAAGCCACTGGGAGAAAATCCAGCTGAAGCCATGTAGGGCATTAACGGTAAATACCTTGATTTGCACTCAGGAGGAAACTGATAACCAGTAGTTCTCAAAAGATGTGTTACATGAGAGACTCTAGATGTTATCATCACTACCGAAACTATATTCTGGACCAGCAGAAGCTACCAAGGTGGTTTCAAGGATGTCCCACATAACACATATTACATTAATTCAAACAGGTATGAGGAAGGTGTGAGTGACTGTAAGCAGGACCTTCTGATCCACATGACTTAAGCTAGTGCACCAGATATAACCATGCAGGAGTCCACGCAATTTCAATAGTTGCCTGTTCTTCAAGGAGTTTGAAAACATTTTCAGAAGGTTAAATCTCTTCGTACCTTATAGGACTTGGATATATTGAAAATTATGGGTTTCTGAAGCTGCAGGTAGCTACTTCAATTTTGCTTATTTAGATTCACTTAGATGGGCCTAATGTTCTTGTCCATAGCAAGATTTGGGCTGGAGGAATTAAGAGATGCAATGACTGCCTATATATAAAGAATAAAAAGAATCACATCTTTGACAGGTATTCTTTAGAAATATAATTCTATGTCCCAAGACATAACATGTCCAGCAAGGTGGAGTGTTTGGTAAATCCAGTTAATATAAGTAATACTTAGTGCTTGTACACATTTATTCCATATGTGTGGTATTCTGCCCAATGTATCAATAACTACAGGAATAACAATTTCACTTTCTTTCATAATTACTCATTTTAATTGTTTAAACTCAGTATTTTGTATTTTTCCCATGTCTTGTTATCCTCAATATTGCAAAAATTACTCTTTTCAATTATTGCCATTATGCAACACTGCTTCACATTGCTCAATTTTGCTTCTGTTGACTTAGAATACATACTGGAAACTGGAAAGTTTAAAGGAGCCAAATATTGTTTCCAGTTAATCCCATTCAGAATACCCTTTTCCACATAAATTCACTTTCATTTAGTTTACCCAATGAATAAATTGCACAAAATGAGTCAGAGATATATCCACCTGGCCAGATCATAACGCTACCCTGAAAGGAAAAAGCTGGACAGGCTCTAGAGCCGTGATGGCATGCCATAGGTGGCACACAGCGCCAAATCTGTGGGCACGCGAGCATTGCCCTAGTTCAGCTCCAGCACGCATGCACGTGCCAGCCAACTGATTTTTGGGCCTTCCAGGCCTACCGGAAGTTGGAAAAAAGGGCTGTTTCTCGCCTCCAGGGGGTGGGGGAGGCCGTTTTCACCCTCCCCAGGCTCCAAGAAACCCTCTGGAGCCTGGGGAGGGCGAAAAACGGGCCTACCGGTAACCTTTTTGCCATCACGTGCCAAAAGCGGGAGGAGTGCGGGGGGTCGTGTGCACATGTGCAGGGGGCATTGAATTAAGGGTGTGGCCATGTGCACGTGTGATCCCCCTGCATTTCCCCCGCTTTTGGCATGTGAAGGCAAAAAGGTTAGCTATCACTGCTCTACAGTAAGTGAAGACTGAAGTCAAGATTCCAGCATTTTATGTTCCAAAATCTGTCAGAATTATAACTGGTCACAGAAGTGCAGTTTTGTCAATGCATTCAAACTGCCAATTGCACCAACCATCATCAGGGCACATGCCAGAGGAAGTAAAACATCAATTTTTCCTATTTCCATTTGAGATCTGGGATCAACAGAAGAAAGAAATCAGTAATTGACAGATGGAAATAATAGAATGAAGCATTAAAAGGGAAGGGAAATAGGAAGAAGGGACAGGATGTAATGTGATGTAATGGACAGATTTCATGGTATTTTTGGCAGTAATATAGAAGCAGTTTGCAATTGCCTTTTCCTGAGTTGCTTTTTCAACTTCCCATTGTACCCTATAGCTATAAAATCACCTGGTGGCCTCCCAGCCATAAAAACAAGTCCAATTTTGTTTTTGTTTTTTTATCAGATCCTCCTAGGTTGGCTAGATGTTGGCTATAAATTATTGGAATTGGGTTTCCAACAGAAAATTTGGCTTTCTGTTTATTTGGCTTTTGTTTTTAATTGCTCACAAGACATTCAGAATAATGGAATAACAGAGTTGAAAGGGGCCTTGGAGATCTTCTAGTCCAACCCCTTACTCAGCCAGGAAACCCTATACCATTTCAGACAAATGGTTGTCCAATCTCTTCTTAAAAACTTCCAATGGTGGCGCACCCAGAACTTCTGGAGGCAAGTCATTCCACTGATTAATTGTTGTAACTGTCAGGAAATTTCTCCTTAGTTCTAGGTTCTCTCCTTGATTAATTCATTGCGGCAGCAAAGACGTGAAAAGGCTGAGTCATTTCCAGTTAGTAAAAACGGCATGTGTTGCGAGAATATTTCTGGGGGGATAAAAATAAACATTTCCCTTTACAGAAACCAGCCACATTTGTGTTGTTGCAAAATTATAACTTACTGCCCAAGGTTGTTTCAGATTTTCCCCTCTCCCAAAGATCGTTACTCCCTTCTTTGCCCCAAAACAATAAAGTAAAAGTAAAACTTTTCTCTCTCCTCCCTCCGCATTTTCTATACAACACAGTAAAAAAGAGCAGAATGAAGAAATTCAACCTTCAAAGCCATTCGAAGTCCTGCTAACACCACCCCGCTGGGGTTCTGGGTTCGCTTTCAACGGAACGCGGGCTGCATTCACACGACACGTTAAAAACCTGCATGCTAACTTCATTAACGATACTTGTTCACTGCTGATTACTGGAGGCTTTCTCGCGTCACCGCGCGTTAAAGAGACTCCCCCCCCCCGCCGGCTGATGCAAAGTGAGAGGAAACCCAGAGAAAACCCGAGCGTATCGTGTGAATAGGTGGAACCGCAGCTCTGCGGAAGAAAATGCGCTACGGCCGGCATTTCGTGCGGCCGCCTCTGGTTGCCGGCTGCCACGGAAAACAGGCTTATGGGGTGTGGATGTATTGTGTGTGTGTGTGTGAGTTAGAAACAGTGCCATTGTTCCCTTGCTGGACGGCGCCGGACTTAACGCTCCGACAGCAGCGCAGCGCTTCCTTTCGGGGCTCTTTCCTCCGCCCGCAAAGCAAGGGCGCCCGGGGTGCCTTGGCGAACTTCCACTTACCAGACGGCGCCGTAGGCTCCCGAGCCCACCGCCTGCAGCTCTCGGTAGCGCTCCCTCACTTCCCAGACGGTCTTGGTGATGTCCTGGCGGTAGAAGCCTTTCCTGGGGGAGGTCATCGCGGCCTCTCCCTCTTCCCCAGATTGCCCACAAAGGGGGGAAGGAAAAAAAAAACAACCCAAAAAAACCCGGTGGGGAAAAAAAAAAAGGGGGCGGCGGGCTACTTTAGACCCGCTGCTAAATGCCTGCCTGGCGCGCGCAGAGCCTTTTGTGCGGCACAGCGCGCGCGCGCGTGCATCTCCTCTTGCTTGGGGGGGGAGTCTACCGAACTAACTGGGTCCCAGCGCGCGCCCCCACCCCCCCTTTGCCTGCTCCTCCTATTCGCTTTCCCCGGGTGGAGGAGGAGGAGGAGAGCCACGCGGCGGTCCCTTGGCTACGCCGAAAGGCCACGTGCGCGGCGCTCCCCGCCCTTCCTTCCGCGCTAGTTTTTTGGGAAGGTGGGGGGGGGGGGGGGGGGGGGGGGGGGAGAGAGAGAGGAAAAACCCCGCGGGATATTTCTGGCTCCTGAATGGCTACTGTCGCCTCCCCGTTGTTAGAAAATTGCCGGCTTGGGTTATGCCAAGTTTGAGCAAAGCAGCTGCTTTGGAACATAATGGAACAAAAATGAGGGGTTTTTTTGGCGGGCGGGGCGGCCTTGGGATTCTCTTTCTACCTCAGTGTTTCTCAACCTTGGAAGCTTGAAGATGGGTGGACTTCAACTCCCAGAATCCCCCAGCCAGAATCCCCCACCCAGCAACGCTGGCTGGGGGATTCTGGGAGTTGAAGTCCACCCATCTTCAAGCTTCCAAGGTTGAGAAACACTGCTCTAGCTGCTGAAAACGGAAGACGTTATTTCTTCATAATTAACCGCTTGATGTCCTAACATACTAGGCGTGTCCCGATTAAAAACCCAGAAAACTGCCTCCAAACCCATCCTGCCCACAGATATGGTCTCCCCAGATTACTCACTCTCAGTCTCACCTCCAGTCTTCCTAGCCTAAGTATTTCCATGTCTAGGTTTATCATATTTTTCAAGCAGGAGGGGGGTGGCAATCTGCAGGCTAGTTAGTGTGCAAGTAAAGCTGGCAGCAGGGAAGTTAGTGCAATTCAGTTTCCCCCTTTGTGCAGCGTGCCAAGGCCCATAAACTTTAAAGCCGCATATGCTCCTTTTGTGGATTGTTGCAACCCTGTTCTCCAGGATTTATAAACTGGCTGAGATGCAAAGCCAGTTAGGAGAGGAAGGTGTATGTGGGATATGTTTGCCACGTGGAGTTATTTGTAAAAATAATAAAGGCGGGATACAAATACATAAGTAAATCCCGATCAAACTAGGACATACGGTAAGCCTAATTTCCAATTTGCAGGAAATTCCTTGGATGAGATCCCTTCAGCCTCAGGGTTAGGTTCTGTCCACCATCACATTTAACTGGAATGAAGCGGGTTGATACACAGTAACGTATTGTGCCATCCTATAAATTCAGTCAGAAGTAGCTTTAGATTTGTTCTTAAACTGACCTGGGATTATCTGAAGCTCAACCAACTCTCTTGATCCGTTATGCTATCCAAAACCAAAATAAAGATGCTAAGGTTGATTTTGTGTCATCAAGTTGATGTCAGCTCTAAGCAGCCACATAGATTTTTGTCTGTGGTGATTTGTCCCTAACCTGATCCTTCAACTTTCCTAATGATGCATTCCTTGCTGTTGTAACAGCCTGATTCTATGGAGATCATAGGAGGAAACCTCGGTTAGTCTATAGTGGAGGAAAAAAAAACTGATAGCACTTTTTCTTTCCAACAGATTCAGTTAAAAATGAATAAGCTTTTGTGAACTGCAGCTTTTTCATCAGAAACAGATCAGAAATAGATTGATTGAGGCGAAGTGGATGGTGGTGATGGAGAAGTGTTTAGGCAGATAACACCCACTGAGATGGTCTTTTTGAGTTTTTGAGGTATGTGACTTCAGCAATCTCTTGCTTAATGATGGAATTAAAATGCTAGTTTTCCAAAATAATCATTGTGAGGTCTGCTGCAGGATGTCCTAGGACAGGGGTCAGCAACCTGCGGCTCCGGAGCCGCATGCAGCTCTTTGGGCCCTCTGCTGTGGCTCCCTGTCAGGTGATCCCACCACTGGCTAGTCCTCCCCTCCCAGTCACTCCTCGCCTGGCCTGAGAAGGTAAGGGGGGTGGGGGGGATGGAAAAGCAGCCTGGGCAGAGACACAGAGATACAGAGGGAGGGGGAGAGAGACATAGAAAGAGAGCGGGGGGGGGGGGGGGGGAGAGAGAGATGTGCCAAAAGGATTTTGTGGTTCTCGGTGTTTTTTAACAACTGGTTCTTGGCCCTAATGACCAGCTGGGTAGGCGTAGCTAGGGGTGGTCATGTGACTGGTGCAAGTGAGTGACATCAAGTTGGCCACACCCACCCAGGTTTTGTGGCTCCTGGTATTTTCTTTTCTGTGGGAAACAAGTCCAAATGGCTCTTTGAGTATTTAAGGTTGCAGACCCCTGTCCCAGGAAATTGAAATGCTGTCCTGTTCTAAGGATTTGTGATGCATTCTATTGCCCTTTTCATAAGGGAGGTTAATTGGAGACTTCTGTGATTACCACAGAAGAGCATGTGGGCAAAAATATGTTCCACCCATGATTGATTTCTTGACTGGGGAGTTCAATTAGGCATGATAGATCAAGAAGAAGACACCAAGGGTGTCTGTATTATATGGTCAAAAAAGTCAAGATGACAGCCATGATAGAAGGATTGAAGCTCTGCCTTTTTAAATGTGCATCGCTCATGAAAAACAGCTTCAATTGCAACTTTGTGGTTGCCATGTCAACTCTTTTGACCATATCCCTAAGGGTATCTAGTAATATAAATTGAATTTAGTATTTGCTAGTTTTCATTTACTTGCAGTTTATCAATCTTGTCTCTACTATCTCTGTAAAAAGTTAGGGTATAGATTATAAGTAGAAGCTATGAATCATCTTAATCACTCAAAGTGTCTTCTCCAGCCTAGAGTTCTTAAATACCGTGTAATCTCTTATTGGTTTGACTTTTCTAAACATGGTAACTTAAAGGGGGAAAGGCTAGGGTCTCTCTTAATTTTTTCTCCAGTGCTTACGGTACTTAAGAATGAAGTTTAGAGGAAACAGACACATAAATACTAGATATTGCTAAAAACTCCTTTGTACACCTTACCTTGAGTGATTCCTTCACCAAGAAGAAAGTTGTTTGGGCATGTTATACTTAATCCACAGGGAGCTTGCTTGTGAGGTGCAAAACACCAAACCAAACACAAAGCAAGCAAACCGAACTAAACCCCCTCCTGGAATCTTAGCTGATGATCCATCAAGGATTTCTATTAAAGTATGACTGCTGTGACTATCCATGCCAAGGTTGACTTCAGTGTCTCAAGCAGACAGTTCTATCTCTGATAGATAGAAAGGCCGTCATACAAAGTACTGGCAATATCTATTTCCTATTGTACCTCTGGGTTTATATGCCAGTACTAGTTGCAGAACAATAAATAGAAGATCCTAAAACAACCCTGCCTGAGTACAGCAGGTGCACCACAAAAATATGAGCAAACAACCTTTAGTAGAATTGATCTTTGGCAAGATTTTCAAAAGTGTATTGTTTCTATTTGTTACCAGATTTTGAGCCAACATCATAGCAGTGGGATCATCTGATTAATGTTATTGAGGCTGGGAAGATAAATTAGAGTTTATCTTTAGACCCCAGCTTTCTACACTATATTGTTACGGTATATTACCTGGGCCAGGGTTTGAGTTTGATTGCAGCCTTTTCCCCTCTAGCCAATGTTGTACTTCATGATATACATCTAGTGGGCTGAGAAATCTGAGTAATATAGACAATAGGAAAGCAAGAGCTGGAGATAACAGAAATACAAAATAAAATCTGCGTGGGAGCACCTTCCATCTGTAGTCTGCAATATTTCTTTGGCAGAGATTATGTGTGCTATGCTTTGTTGCATAGTTTTAGATCAGGGATATATTGAATGAATTGCCCATTTGTGGTTAAATGCCAAGAAGATATATATACATATACATATGAATACATATATATCTTTATATAGATGAGAGGGGGAGAGAGAGGAGAGAGGGAGGGAGGGAGGGAGAGAGAGAGAGAGAGAATGAGAGAGAATTAGATACATATGAGTTAGATAAATACTTTCTAAGAAGATATATATTTCTAGTTCTTGGGTGGCAGAGAGAATGACCAAATTTGTTGTGCATTCCAGCATTAGGGCATCTTTTAATAATGAATTGTTTTCTGCATCCCTCTTCCCCATTATTTCTGGGATGCTGTAACCTGCCAACTGAAGTTAGTACTGCATTAAGTCCAATGTAGTTAGTTGTCCCTGAATAGCATTTGCAATGCTCCTTAGTTTTTATGTTTACACAAATCTCTTTACTGTATAAGGATAATAACCATTGAAAGACAAGATCATATATCTGAAGAAAATGAGATATTTCACCAAGAGGTTTCTTCATATTTCAGAGTTAGTCTTTACTTTTCTTGCATTTATTCACTTCTGAAATTTATCAAAAAGTGTGAAAAGCTGACACATGAAAAAGAGTTACTCATTATAATCCAAGAAAATAAGATGTGGAAAAATGGATTTAAATTGCAGGAAGACTTTGAAGAGAACAGATTGTTTGTGGACCAATGACTCAAAACAGTGGTGGTTTGATTCAGTTTACTGGTTATGTCAGTAGAGTTGTAAGGGATGTTTTAATTTGGATTTTTGCATGGATGTCACATTTTACTAGATGGCCTACATGACTTCTTCCAACAATATGGCTCTGTGGAAGATCTAATTTCACATGAGAAATTGTTTTTGTGAACATTTTCCTCCTACTTCTCTAAACTGCCACCATAATCAGGGCCAACAGTGCTTAACTATGAAAGCATACTTCCCTTTTGCATTGCATCTATTAATTTATTAAAAGAGAAATTGTAGTTCTTTATTTGTATACATTTTATATGTGGATGATTTCTGTCCACTGAATGTAGGGAACAGGGCGGAAATATTGGGAGAGTTGGGCATTAAAAAAAGGCATGTCCATGCAAAAATGGATACGTTTACACAATTAAGTAAAAGAAAGAAACTGAATATTTTTTGACTTGGGACTTATTTTATCAATGGCTAGCTGACAAAAACAGGAGCTAGAAACAGGGAAATATATAGAAGGATCAGTGATATAAGGAAGATACGTTAACGTAGTTAAACAAATAATATGATTATTATTGTTATTAATGCGATGGATATTAATGCAATGAATATTGTTATAAACACTTCAATTATTATTTCTTAAAATGATTTGTACCTAGACAACACACTGTTCAATTGAAATTGGAATTTTTGTATGCTATAAAATAAAATAA